TCTACGCGGTCGCCAAGAATGGCACAGAAGTCACGTTCCAGATCAAGGGCGTCAACTGGTTCGGCATGGAGACGTACGTACTCGACTCGCACAATCTGGATGCCAGGTTGAACCTTTTGTTTCTAGGGGCATGCAAGCACCCTTTGGGCTCTGGGACAACGACCAGAATGGCACGACTGTGGTACGTTCGACATGCCTCTCCAGATTGTGCATCTCACAAATGTGATTCTAGTACGAGATTGCCAAATTCCTCGCCAACAACAAGTTCAACTCGGTGCGCGTGCCCCTCTGCGTCTCGAGCATCCTCGAAAACAAGCCGCTCGAAGCGTCGATCGTCAACCGCGTCACCAACCGCGCTCTGGATCTGACGTCGTTTCTGAGCTTACTCCAGACCGTGGTCCAGTCGCTCGGGTACCGCCAGATTTCCGTCATGCTGTCCATGCACACGCTCGACCTCATGAACCGTGGCGGGTCGCTCTGGTACGGCTCGACGGTCAGCGAAGCCCAATTCCTCAAGTCGATCGACATGCTCACGGCCGCGCTTTGCTCTGACAAGTACTGGAACATCCTCGGCGTCGACGTCAAGAACGAGCCATGGGAAGGCACGTGGGGCACTGGCGCCAAGAACGACTTCAAGCTCGGCGCTGAGCTCATTGGCGCGCGTATTCTCAAGGGCTGCCCGAAGTGGCTCGTCTTCGTCGAAGGCGTCAACGCCCAGAACGACGTGACGCTCGACGGCCAAGCCTTTGCATATTACGACTGGTTTGGCGGCGGGCTCCAGAAGGCCGGCGCCTTTCCGGTCGTCCTTCCGACCGCTGAGAAGCTCGTGTATGCACCCCACTACTACACGCCGGCGGTGTTTCCGCAGTACTACCTCTTTGGCGGCGGCAAGGTCGGCGCCGGCAACGCGATCAACGGCTACGTCGAGCTCAGCGACGAGAAGCTCCTGGGGCGTGTGGCCCAGACCATGCACCAGATGTTTGGCTACCTCAACGACAAGAAGGACATGGCGGTCGTCCTCGGCGAGTTTGGCGGCCTCTACACCAAAGACGCGCACCCGATGAAGACGACGCAGCGCTGCACCGACTTTACGATCAAGACGATTCTGAGCGAGAATTACGCTGGCGGGTACATGTGGTCGCTCAACCCCGAGTCCGCGTACCAGTACAACCCGGCCGATACGCCCGGCAACTATGTCGAAGGGCTTGTGAACGACGACTGGCGGTCGGCCAACCTTCCGTTTTTGAAAGCCATGCAGGCCATGGACGCGATGAAGGACCTCAAGATGATGCCATGCTTCCCGATCGAGTAGAGACGAGATCAAATGCATCTATGTTTGTGCTGAGTGGCATGTCCAAGTCCGCGTGGCTACCGTGGGCGAGCATGAGCACAGGCCGACTACAGCTTGGGCGTTTGAAACATAGAGCATCTTGCATCTCAAACGTAATACGAGTCGGAACAGCATGTTCTCGGGACGCTACATACAAGGTTCGTGGGCGCCGCCAGCAGATCTCCCGGCTCTGGCTTCCGTGGAGGGGCGGTTGCCCGGGCTAGCCGCTAGGGGTAGGTTTGGCGAACCGGTTTTCCGACCCGATCGAACCGTTGATCGCTCGGGCTTTTGGGCCACGCGTTCGCACGTAGGTCACCAGTTACGTGGTTGGTATAGACTGGAAGCTCTCCTTTGTATCAAGAATACCATTACACTATCAACTTGATATTGTGCTTTTATCACGTAATTTTGCCGTTTGAAATATGAAATGACCAAGTGCATTTTATTGCTTGTGCACATGTAGTCTCTGGATTAGAGCTCAAATGTATACGAGAGGACCGCGGGCGTCTCCTTGGCGTCGCTCGCCTTGGCCTCGTCCTGCTCGTTGGCATCGTCGTTGGCCTTGCCATCGTCGTCGGCGTCTTTCTCTTGTGCGTACTTGGACGTAGCAAAGCCCGACGGCGCGCCGCGAAGCCCCGCAAAGTACGTGACCGTCTTGGTCGGGTTCGTACCGCGATCTGTGCCCGTCTGCGTCGCATTCTCCGTCGGCAGCCACACTTGGGCGTCAACGTCCATGCGAAAGTTGCTCAGTGTCGTTTGGGCCGACGTCGTTTTGCACTAGAATGTCATGAAAAATACATCCAAACTTTCTCAAAAAATCGCAAAAAATCTCAAAACATAGGAAATGCGTACGTTGCGTAGGTTGGCCACGCGGAGTGCACGGCGTCGCAGGCTCCACTCGTTCCAGTCGTACGTGACGTCAATGTTCTTTTCCACAAAATGCACCGGCGTGCTCGTGCTCGCGTCGACCTTGAGGACGGCGTGGGGTGCCAGCAGCGGGTGTACGTGCGCCTTGTTGTTGAGCAATTTCATCAAGCTCGCCATCGACGTGTCGGGAAAGCTCTCCTATAAAGTGAGAGGTTCAAACATGACATATGAGAATGATGTTGTCGACTTGGAGGCGGAGAAGGTAAATGAGCTCTGGGCGGTGGACCACGAACGCGTGCACCGCCGAAATGTAAATGTCGGGACTCGCCATAAAGTCGCTGAGCGCCCGTTCGTTGACGAATACGTGGTACGCGTTGCGGTACTGGATGACGCCAAGCGACGGGTCACCCGGCAAGAGCAACCCTAATCACCGATAAAAGTCTATCTTTTTTATCGAGTTGGGATACCGCCACGCTGCACGATTGTCCACGGGCAGTACCCTTGGTACTCGAGTGGGAGCTGCATAAACTCGGGCGTCGAGTCGACCGACATGCGAATCGGTACGTCGTCGACCGCGGCACTTTCGTCGCCTAATGCAATAGTTGAACCCCATGACAGTCTACTGGAGTATGTCTACCGTGCGCCGACACGACGCTCTCCTTGCGGGTTGTCGTCGACGACGAGGTCACGAGGTACGCTTGGTTGTCGGGCTCGCTGTGCTCAAACCACTCTTCTTGCGGTGGCATACCAGCGCGCTTGGCCTTGAGGATCCATTCGGATTGCTGTCCCAGGGTCCGCGTATACGAATCCTTGAACTCCATCAGCCTAATTTCCGAGTATCGCATAAGAAAATAATCCAAATCCGACAAATAAGACGCTACGCTTTGATGGACCGGGACCGCGCGAGGAGGAGCTGGTGCTCGACCTCGAGTTCGTCCCACGCTTTGGAGAGCGCTTCGAAAATCGGGTACACTTGGCCTTTGGGCAGCGACGTGCGCGACCCCACGAGTCTACAACTCGGATGACACTATTTTCGCATAGAAAAATAAGGTACGATTTCAGCGTGTGAAGCTCGGTCTCGAACGCCGTGATGAGGCGGCCAATCTTGTCGGACGACACGTCAATGTCTTCGTGGAGCGACTGCATGTACGACAGAAACTGCCGCTTGTTGTTGAGCTCCTCTTGCCATCTGCCGACAATCTAAGACAACTTGTACATTGATGTGTGGACATACCGTTTGAGGTTGGCGACCCCCGACGCCGACTGCGCATTGTAGTGATGAATGTGCAATAGCACTTCGGTGTAGTCGGTGCAAATCTGGTTGACCTCGTCGACTTCTTGCGCCACGCTCGTGGAAATGGACGTGACGTTGTCACGAATCGTGTCTAGTCGATAGACAAGTTGTCCATAGTTGTACTAGGTTGGTGGTAGATACCAATGGAGAGGACTATGCCGGCCCCGCCCTTGCCGATTTCCTTGTTGAAGAGGCGGATACCCCCGACGATGTTGGCCAGCTCCTTGAGTTGGAACTTCTTGTCGTCGGGCGACATGCTCACAAACGACTTGAGCCTACACGAATCTCAAATATCGTTGTGCGATTCACAAAATATCGAAACGGTACCCAATGCGAGGAAAGACGCTTTCGAGGGCAGCAGCAACTTCACGCTCAATGTTGCGGTCGTTGGCCTTGTCGGCGTCCGCGTGGACCATGAGCAACGTGAAAATCTAGAGCACATGTCAAACCATAATATATGTTTCAAAAGTCAAAATGTCGGAATCCAACCTGCCGATAGAGCGTCGTGAGTGCCTCAAAGTCACTCGTGCCCGACGGCTGGAGTGCGACAATCGATCGGTGCAAGTTGGCAATCTTCTTTTCTTTCATGGCCGACGCCTTCTCGACTTCTTCCTACGTAATATTCATTCGCATAATTTGGGATTCCAATATGCACGAATATATATAGGGCCATACTTCGTGTTTGACGTAGCACAAGTCAAAGTCGAGCTGCATCTTGATCGTCTCGAGCGACGGCGAGTCCTTCCGGAGGAGCATGTCGACGCTGCGCTGCGTGAGCTCCGCGAGCCCCGCAGCATCAATGTCGCCATCGAGACAAAAGACATTGGAATTTTCTTGGACAATCTAGGACATCGCAAAAAACAGCGAAAATCAACGAATATATTTCCGCAAAATGCCACAAAAATCGTACTGTGCGGCAGATGAACGCTGCGAGCGTGTCCGAGACGACGACGCCTTCGTACTTGCAGCGCGCGATGATGTCGGCGACGACCTTGCCGATACGATCCAGCATCTTTGTCGCTTCTTTGGATGTACGTCCGATGAAACCGGGCGTGTAACCTCTGCGCCAAAACGGCTCGGATTGGTCCAAACTCGCGTCTTTTCGAGCCAATCCAAGGGCGAGTCCGTTCTTTCGCCGACTTGTCCGTAGCTAGCAACCTGCCGGACAACGACAACCAACAAGCTCGTGGACTCTACGAGGTGCGCAACTCCGTCATCGAGCCCCTGATCGAATGGCGGCTTATGGCCCTACGCGGTCGCGTGACGTTTCATTGGCTAAATATCTGGCCCTAAACGCATATGATTGGTTGAAATGCTTGAGACATCGCAGGTGATTGGCCATCCCCGCAACCTTCGGACACATTGCAATCTTCGGCCAACGCCACCACGAACGATGCAGCGAGTGTACGACCTGGTGGTCATGGGCGGCGGCAGCGGCGGTATCGCGTCCGCGCGCCGGGCAGCCACGTACGGCAAGAAGGTCCTCGTCGTCGAGCGCGGGCGCCTCGGCGGGACGTGCGTCAACGTCGGCTGCGTGCCCAAGAAGGTCATGTACGCGGCCGCCGACCTCGCCCACAGCATGCGGCACGACGCGCCGGCGTATGGCTTTCCCGCAGTGCCCAACACGACGGTTGACTGGGCCACGCTCAAGCAGCGCCGCGATGCCTACGTCACGCGCCTCAACGGCATATATTCCCGGTGCGCCTCGCCGTGTCTGCTACGATCGCTCAAACTTGTACCTACATGTAGCAACCTCCAGGGCTCGGGCGTCGACTTTGCGCAGGGCCTGTGCAGCTTTGGCAGCGACGGACGCGTTCAGATTGATGCGACGCCGCTCGACGTATACGATGCAGCCATGCGATGCGATCTCGTGACGAATGGATATAGGCCGAGGCGACAAACGTGCTCGTGGCCGTCGGCGGCCAGCCCGTCATGCCCGACATTCCAGGCATCGAGCACTGCATTAGCTCGGATGGTTTCTTCGAACTCGACGAGCGCCCGGCCCGCGTCGCGGTTCGTACACGTCCTAGGAGATGACCCGACTCATGGATGATGCGTAGGTGGTGGGCGCCGGCTACATTGCCGTCGAGCTCGCCGGCGTGTTGCGCGGCTTGGGCTCGGACACGACGATCTTTTGTCGCCAACAAGGCGTCCTGCGCTCGTTCGACGTACGTCGATGCTCCCTTGCCGTGCTCTTGCCATCATGCTACATGTCATTTAGGACATGCTGCAGGCGGTCCTCCACGACGCCTTCCAGCGCGATGGCATCACTTTGCAGCCGCACAGCACGATCGCGCGCGTCGACAAGGTAGCTTGCTCGTCCTCATCGTAGCGTAGGTTCACGCGGCATGCGTAGGACCCGACGACGGGTAGTCTCAGCGTGACGACGACGGCGGGCGAGCACCATAGCGGCTTTGACTGTGTGCTTGTGGCTACGGGCCGCACACCGATGACCAAGGGTCTGTATGAACATTCTCAACGTCTAACCTCACTCGAAACGTAGACCTCGGCCTTGAACATCGCGGGATTCAACTGTCGCCCAACGGCTTCATTCCTGTCGACGCCTACCAAGCGACGAGTGCCCCCGGTGTCTTTGCGCTCGGCGACGTGGTCGATACGGTAGACTCTGTCATCCTGTGGTCAATAATGTCATATCTCACGGTTCTAGGCGGCGCTAACCCCGGTCGCCATTGCAGCGGGTGGACACGACTCTCGTCAAGAGTTCATTCCCGCTAACATTGATGCATAGGCCGGCGCTTGGCCGATCGCCTCTTTGGTGGCCTCCATGACGCCAAGGCCGACTACACCAACATTCCATCGGTAGTCTTTAGCCATCCTCCGATCGGTACACCCCAAGCACGTCGTATTCAGCGTGTTCAAACTTGTGTGTACTGTAGGTACGATCGGTCTCACCGAGCAAGAAGCCCGCAAGGTCTACCGCGACGACGAGCTCAAGGTCTTTGTGCATATGATAAGGGCTAGGTGAAACCTGCGGGGTAGGTATACAGCTCCAAGTTTGTCAACATGCACTACTCGTTGTACGAGCACGCGCACGAGAAGCCAACGACGGCCATGAAGCTCATCTGCGTCGGCCCCAGTGAGAAGATTGTCGGACTGCACGTCATTGGGCGCGGCGCCGACGAGATGCTGCAGGGGTTTGGTGTCGCCATCAAGGTAACCTTCAACTTGACGTTGGAGAATTCAAGGTCGATGCGTAGATGGGGGCGTGCAAGAAGGACCTGGACGCGTGCATTGCGATTCACCCGACGGCTGCCGAAGAGTTGGTGACGCTCGCGCCGTGGGGCTTGTAAACACTGTAAAATTGGATTTTTCTGGGGATTTTTCTCGGATTTTTTGTTGAAAGTGCTGGAAATGCTTGGCAGAAGGAATGCTTCTGGCAGTCCCGTTCGATGGAAGCGGGGATGCAGCGCCATGAACAGAAGATGGGTATCCACGACGCGTAGCCTCCCCCTTGACCCATGACAACAAATATATATGGACCGACGGCGGCGCCATTTTTGTTTGGCTCAGGCCCATTGTGACACATATGTGTAACTGGCTGGGCCGAAAAGAGCCTAATTTAAAAATCAAATAGTGTATGATGCGTCATGGTATCGTCATCGTGTGCACGTCCATGCACGCGTGGTTCGTAGTCGCAACCTACGAGTCGTGCTCATCGACGGTATCCACGCGATGCGATTGCGTCATCGATCGAGCGCGTGTCCATGGCAAGGCTCTCAATGCTTGCCATCCTGAAGTGTCGCGATGCATCGGGATGTTTCATGCACACTATTTGCGTGCATATGTTGAAATTCGGATGTGAAACGAGGACGAGATTTTAAAATTCGGACATGGCCGGTTTGGCCAGCCGGAGAACGCGCAGTCGCCATTTTCATCAACTGCATCTCCCGACCGCTCCATCCCCATCAGCATGGCGACGCATGCGCAGTACGCAATGAGCGACGATGGCATGAGTGGCATCGGCAGTGGCGGCCGCTACACAGGTACATGGAGCCATCGTCTCGCACATGCTCACGTGCGCATGCAGCGGCGAACGCCAAGAAGCGGCTCGTGCGCAAGATCCAGCAGGACAGCTTGAAGCAGCTCGCGCTCTCGACGACGGCCGTCCTCGTGCGCGCGCCAACGAACCCGTACTACTCGTACCACATGACGATCACGTCCGAGTACTACAAGCAAAAGTGGATCGTGTGCCACCGCTACTCGGAGTTCCATCGGCTCCGGAAGCGCATTCTCGACCAGCTCGAGATCCACATGAAGATGAGCTGCGCGTACTGCAAAGCGCTGCATGGCCAGATCGCCAAGTTTGACTTTCCTGGTCGTTCGAGCATCTTCAAGAAGGTCGAGGTCGCGGCGCAGGTCACTGCGCGCACAAGTGGCCTTGAAGACTTTGTCGTTGCGCTCGCCCAGTACCTCAGCGCCGAAGGCATCACGGTGCACTGCAAGAACATCCTCTCGATTCAAGTCATGGTACGCACCGCCGTCGCCACGTGGACGCTCAGTCTCTTGCTGCATTAGACAAAGGACTTTTTGCAGTTCCCGCTCGCCCACGAAGAGCAGCATATTCGCGCGATCAAGTCGCTCACGTACGTCGACCCGCGCGACGTGCGCGTCGACACGGACTCGTGCCCGATCTGCCTCAACGACTGGGGCGAGCTCGACGGCAACCAGCTCGTGCTCTCGCTCTGCGGCCATTTCTTCCACGAGCACTGCATCAACGAGTGGTACACGACGCGGTTCGACTGCCCCATGTGCCGCCAAATCGCCGGCACCTAAGCCCTCCATGCGTCGACTGGCACTGGCCCTCGCGATCGCAGCGAAGAAGGCGCCAGTATCCTCTACATTTTGCTATCTAATACCACCGGAATATACAAGTCCGTTGTACATCCTCTTGAGCTATAGACTGTAGAGCTAGAAGATTTCATAGACACTATGAGCATCACAAACCCACGAGGCAACTTCGCGTTGCAAGGCGCAAGCGCTAGAGTTGCCTACGGGCTGTGATTATCTTGGCGAAAGTGGACTCAGCCTGTTCCTAGCGAGAACAACAGAATCGCCCGCGAGAACGGCATGTACTCAGGTAGCAAGCAACGTGTTGTGGGCGTGGGCGATACGAGCCGCTTGTGCACTGGCGCGCCGACCCGCGAGGGCCGCTGGACCTGGCAATGTGCATGGACTGTCACATGCCACTGTGTGTGATCCAGCCCCTGTTCCCTTGGCCTCGCCGAGCGTGGCGGCGGTTGCTCGGCGCAATGGTGTCAGTCATGGGCGGCTACCGGTCGCTCTGTGCTACTCGGGCTTGGTCGGCTACTACATGTACTGCCCAGCTCGAGTGAGCTGGTCGAGCGCAATCATCAGCATCAACATGGCTGCCAGGATGACGTAAACGGCCGTTTTGTATCTTGACTAGCAGCCAATCAGAGACCGGCATTTCCAGTTCATTGCCAGCAACTACGCAAACCTTGCGCAAACTTCAAGCATCTTGGCGCGGCCTGTAGTCGGTCGTCGCCAGTCGCCGATTCGGTTTACGATGCACAAGCAGGTCGTGAGCGCTGCGTGCACGCTGCTATTGGCGCTGCTGCTCTGGCCGCGGTCGGCGCCGTACGCCAAGACGACGACGTTGCACTTTCCCGCGCACGCGCCACTCGCCGCCGCGCCGCCGATGGCCGCGTACGCTGGCGGCCGCTACACCTTTGGTCGGTGGAAGCATGCGATTGCTGACGTTGGCTTCCACAGCCACGATCCCGCGAGCGACGTTCTGGATGCACTCACCTCCAGCTTCCAGACCAAACTCTGGCACTACACGAGCGTCGACACACCTCGCTTCTTTCTCGGGTTTGCGTTTGTCCAGCTCCAGTACGTCTCGGACGTCTTCTTGTACCTGGTTGACAAGGCGAGTATGGAGAAGCACGAGTACACAGCGCGCCGTCCGGGCACTGTCGGCCTTGCGTTCGCTGCGTCGTCGATCGATGCGCACCAGTGCACGGTGTTCTCTGCCTCGACAGTGCTCGAAACCAACGAGACGATTGAAGCGTGCTACGTTGGGGGTGCGTGGCAGCTCCGCGCCAACGTACCGCTGACCAGTGCCAACGGGTCGACCACACGGCTTGACATGGAGATGGCCCTTCAGCGCGACGAAGCTCTCACGCTGCTGTACCCGCTGGCTGACGACCCAAGGCGGCCAGCGTATGTACACAAGGGCGCCGGCAGCGCCGCAACCGGTCACCTCCAGTTTGGCGCGAGTCACATGCCGCTTACGCGCGGACTCGGCGCGATCGACTGGACCAAGAGCATGGCGCTGCGTGAGACGACGTGGCATTGGGCGTCCGCTAGCTTCTTTGACGACGACGGCACCGCGATCGGCATCAACTTGAGCCAGCACGTGTACGACGTCGATGGCGCGTCCCAGGAGAATGCCATCTGGGTCGACGGCCGTGTGTGTGCGCTGCGCGGTGTCCAGTTTCAGATTCCAGATCTGGATCCGGTCAAATCCAACTGGCGCATCACATCGATCGCGCCGACGTCCCAAGACAATGTGACGCTCGTGTTTACGCCGGCCGGGGCACGCCGCGACGACGCCGGCGTGCCATACCTCTTGCACTCGCGCTTCGTGCAGCCGTACGGCACCTTTTCAGGACGCATTGTCTGCGCAACGGACGACAATATTGTACACGATATCACCGTGGACAGTGCGTTTGGCGTCGTCGAAGATCACTTTGCGCTCTGGTAACGTCGTCGCTCGTAGTTTCGTCTCGTCAATTGTGTGTATTTTCTATTTGCTCTATTTGTTCCAAGTGTTGTGAGCATCCAGTACGTAGTGGTTTGGCGCCAAGTCAACCGCTAGTGTACATTGTAACTGGTTTCCATTACATAGACTGGGGTAGAGCCTACGAGCACTCTCCGTTGACGCTTTCGCTCACTCAGTGGGTCGTGATGGCACAGCGGTTCATTTTGCACGTTTGTGAATGCAGCGACGATGCGCTCCAGAGTTATTCTAGTGTCTTGAGAATGCTGTGTTGACTTGGAGTAGGAGGGCCATCGCAATGTACGACGAACGGTCGCATCAGCTTCAAAATCAGTCGGTCGCCTAGATACGTTGATACGTTATCGAGGTCGTAAGCGCGATCGTGTACGCTGGAACCAGTGATAAGAAGCCTGTGCCGTGAAGCACAGCAGGTCTGTTCTGTGATGACGTAAGAGCAGCGCAATGATTTTATGTTCGGGAAACGACTCAGCGACAACGTGAGCCCTCATATGCACCGTGAGGACACCAATGTGACCAAGCAAGGCTTGTAGCTCACTGAGTAGGTGCCGTATTAAGTCTCTAGGGAATGAATCGAGGGTCCGTCGTGTAGTTTGTTGCACGACGATTGCTCGTCATTTGGGCTTCGTTGTGCAGCTCGTTGGACGACGATGCGAGTGTAATGGCCGCACTGTGTCCTGCGACGTCGGTGCGTGCAGCAAGAACGATATTGCACAGGTGACGACGGGCAAGACCAATGACAACCTTTATGGCATTCTTGTTTGCTTTTAACAGCGAGACGTAGGAACCTTAGCGCCCGACCCAAGCACCCACGTCCTTTGCAAGCACTCTTGCGTGGTACTCGCAGTAGGACACAAGGTCGTTGGACACAACGTGACAGATACGACAGTGCCTTTGAATCGACCCGTCCCCCTACCTGATGCGACGGGGGGAGAGCCAGAAAAGAGGCCGCGATGGATGCGTCGCGGTGATAAGCTCCGTCCGTCGCAACAACGTTCTTGGATTGCGCGGCGAAGTACTATGTTGCATCTTGTTCGCGCTTGGCCTCGTCGTCGGCTACGCTATGGGTACTGTAAAATGCACGAAAATGAAAACCTCACACCGGCGTTTGATTGTTGAGATACCACACACATACGTTCTGTTCTTTTCAAAGAGACCCCATCTGCTGACCCACGTCGGTAACAGAGCTACTACCTCATGATTAGAGAGACGCTGCGGGAACGCTCGTGCACGCCTCTCCTAGAGGACTCTCGGCAGCAGGTCGGCTTCAAGCGGCGGCAACACGGTGCACGCTCGGTGTTGCAAGTGCGAGGTTCGTAGGTATCGCAGTGCGAGTTTGCTCGAGAATACCACCGGCGCCACATCAAGCCTTCCATTCCGACGGGCCCACCCCCCCTCAATTGCTCAAGGTCGCAAGTGTCGCGGTGGGATTGAGCCTTGGTATGCAGCCCTAGCCCTGTGCCCGCGACACGCAGGGCGGACGAAATTTAGAAGCGCGCGTCTGATTGGTGCTTCGAAAATCCGGCTGTTTCACTTTGCACATTTTGAAAAAACCAACTTGGTGTTTGTATGGACAGAGCGGCACCGAGCAAAATGCAACCGGACAGGATACGCCGCAGGGACGGCGCCATGTTCACATTTTGAGATTACGTCCGAGATGGACCGACCCAGCCAGCTGTACGACGACAACACCGACGGCGTCCGCGGCAACAGCTTTGCGTACAGCGCGCCGACCCGCCACTCGTCGTCGTCGCACCACGGCGGGGGCACGCGCGCGTCGCTCATCGAGCGCAACATCATTGCCGCCCCGCTCGATCCGCGCGCTGCCGAGAACACGATGCGGTCGCCCCACAAGGCCTACAAGGGCCGACTCCGGGTATTGTATATATTTTTCTTCTTCGTTGAGAGTAGTGTCTAACCACATGGGCTAGAGGTGGCCGGGTGTCCTCTTGCTCGTTATGATTGTCGGCGGCGCGATCGCAGCGATCGCATACTTTAGCGTCTCGAAAGGCCAGGAAGCCCACGACCGAGCCTTTGCGGTACAGAAGCGACTGGCGAAGGAGCGGGCGATTGCCGACGGGTTGACGAGTGGGTCGGACGAAGTCGACGTGGACGACGACGGCCAAGTCAACAACCCCAAAGTGTACCCGCAGAGCTCGTGCCAGCAGCCCGACTACCAGAGCAAGAACGGCAAAATCTACGCGGTCGCCAAGAATGGCACGGAAGTCTCGTTCCAGATCAAGGGTGTCAACTGGTTTGGCATGGAGACGTACGCCCTTCACATCTGGTACTCTGAATGCCCACATTCATTCTAGTGGCCTTCGCTCCCCGTTTGGGCTCTGGGACAACGAGCAGAACGGGACCACTGTCGTACGTACTCCATATCTTCGCAACCCACAAATCTCACAACAATGATTCTAGTATGCGATTGCGCAATTTCTGGCCAAAAACAAATTCAACTCGGTGCGCATCCCGCTCTGTGTCGAGAGCATCTTGAACAACAAGGCGCCCCAGCTCTCGATCATCAACCGCGTCACCAACCGCGCGCTGGATCTCACGTCGTACCTTGGGCTTCTCGGGTCTATTGTCGAGTCCCTTGCCTACCGCCAGATCTCCGTCATGATTTCCATGCACACGCTCGACTTGATGAACACTGGCGGGTCGCTCTGGTACGGCAAGTCGTTGACGGAGGACGAGTTCCTCAAGGCCATCGACATGCTCACGGCCGCGCTTTGCTCTGACAAGCACTGGAACATCCTCGGCATTGACGTCAAGAACGAGCCGTGGGAAGGCACGTGGGGCACCGGCACCAAGAAAGACTTCAAGCTCGGCGCCGAGCTCATTGGCGCGCGCATTCTCAAGGGCTGTCCGAAGTGGCTCGTCTTTGTCGAAGGCGTCAACGCCCAGCACAC